CACACACACACACACACACACACACACACACACTTACACACACTTACACACACACACACACTTATTCTTTCACTCACTCACGCACACAAACGAACATGCCAACACACCTAAACAGAACAAGGAGATTATGCACGCACACGCACACAGTCACACTCGCTCACTCACACAAACTAAAATAACAACACACAGGCGTCAGGAGTACAGGAGATAGATATATTATAACGACGGTGTTGCGTACGTGCCCTATGTGTAACAATGCGCCCAGCATTGTCGTGGGTTTTCAAACTACATGCAGGTTCAGCGCACGGTGATCTTTAGCTGTGACGTAGGAGAGAAAAGGCACAATGGATGTCTATAAATAGAGCAGCGCTCAGAGGAATATTATTATTGTTGTAGGCTTATTATATTATGGTTCAGGTGTCAAGATCCTGCTTGTAATTCGAACGTAGCCATCCCTTGAACGTACGCATTAATAAAGGCTAGAATGATTTAGTGCGTTGTTGTTGTTGTTGTTGTTGTTGTTGTTGTTGTTGTTGTTGTTATTGTTGTTGTTGTTGTAGTTTTGTGTGCGTGCGTGGTAGCCTATCCGTTCGAAATGTTTGGAGCCCCGAAGAGCGTGCTCTTCGCCAGGGCCACCGCCTCTTTTGGGTAGCGGGTGAGGCAGTCCAACCTCCCTGAATCCTCCCCAAAGAGATGCCATTGCCGAACCTCCGTGGCGGAGCATCTCTGCAGCCAATGCTCCAAATCGTGGGGCTCCTCCCTGCACAATGGACAGATTCGGTCCGATGTTTTGTTGTTGTTGAAGTTTTCCTTGCGGGTGGTTAGAGGGCGCCACTGGTAGGTCCTACTTATTTACTTACTCTAAGTTGTTTCTGTCAATCTGTCTTGCTTCTTTCTTGGAATTGTGTATATTGTGTTGATGTCCTTCGATTCCCCTTACTCATACAAACGAGAGTTCCTTTTCCTTTTGCAGAGCGTGTGATATGAAGGTTCTTCCAGTGATTGCTCTCTTGTAACACGTCCAATCTTCAACACACCCATAACCTTATTGTGTAGCAAAGTTCTATAAAAGGCTTACTAAAGCTAAACTCTTTTAGAATCCTTCTGTGGGTGGTTGGCGGGTGCTCTGGTGTGGTTTGCTCCTTCTTTCCTATCAAACACCTATCATCATGATCTCTCCTACTTCTTTTCTGTTTTTGTTATTCTCTTGTAACACCTCTAATCTTCGGCACCTCTATGACCTAATTGTGTAGCAAGTGCTCTAAAACGCTTACTAAAACTAAACTCTTTTAGAAGTTTCTCTCTTGCCTTGTCCCCCCCCCCCCTTTCCTCCCGTCCGGTCAAAGCACTAAATGACCCATTATTATAGCATCGCGCCTCTATGAACTCGAACAAAATCAGTGGGTTGTCGGCGGGTGCTTTGATGTGGTCTGCTCCTTCTTTCCTTTTAAACAATTATCGCCCTTATCTCTCCTCCTTCTATTTTTATGTTTGTTACTCTCTTGTAACGCCTCTAGTCTTCGGCACTTATATCACCTTATTGTGTTGTAAGTGCCGTAAAACTCTTACTAAAACTAAAAACTAAACTAAAAACTATAGTTAGCTTTAACTGTACATATACCCCTGTTCTTCTGCAGGTGGGAGGAGAGGAGAACTGCCAATGGTCGTGTGCATTACGTGAACCATGTCACGAGAACCACTCAGTGGGAGCGGCCGACTCGGTAAGTCACTCAATGCCTCACTAGTAGTAGACAAGGACCTAACAGCAAAACTGTATAGATTCTAATTTAAACCTCCTCCCTGTTCATTAGCTTGAAGAGTCTGGAGTCGGTGGTGGGCGGGCGCTCTGGTGGTGGGGGTTTGCTCTTTCTTACTTCTTACCAATCAGACATCTATCGTGAGTGGTTGGCGGGTGCTCTGGTGTGGTTTGCTTCTTCTGATCTTTCCTATCAAACATCTGTCGTCCTTTTCTCAATTCCTTCTTTTTTGTGTTTGTTACTCTCTTGTAACACCTCTAATCTTCGGCATTTATATGACCTTATTGTGTTGCAAGTGCCGTAAAACGCTTACTAAAACTAAAAACTGTATAACCTCCTCCTTGTACGCTAGCTTAAAGAGTCTGGTAGCGGGTGGTTGGCGGGTGCTCTTGTGGTGGGGGTTTGCTCCTTCTGACCAAGCAAAAGGTTCTATCTTACTCTCTAGTAACACCTCTAATCGTCACTACACTGTGATTTTAGCCAAAGTACCTAGAAGCGATGGTTGGAGGGTGCTACTGGTAGGGTCCCACTTGTTTACTTTCCCTCTGTTTTTTTTCTTTTCTTTTTTCTGTCCGTCCTATTTTTTACTCAGCACGAAATGGCCATTTTTATTTCGATGTTCTCTCTCTCTCTCTCTCTCTCTCTCTCTCTCTCT